CACACCATTCCGGCGACGGTCGGTCTGATGATGCATAAAGTATTCCGCCTCCTCACTACTACAAAAAAAAGGTGGTATATATTGTTCTACTTTTTCAAATAATCAGAAACAAATAAAAGTAGTAAAAAATCTTAAAAGTTTCATTAAAAAGTATGTTTTCATTCATTATTTATTAAATACGTATGTCTTCAAAAGTGGTATTCACCTATCTATCTTTCCTAAGAATCAAAATCAATTAAACTGAAGTAATAATAAATCTTTTAAATTTCATTAGAGAGTTTAATAGAGAGGTTTCGAAAAGTAGTGAACTACAACAACAAAAATTATTTTCATATTGATTTAATCAACTGAATTTTTGGATGACCATACAGCTGTTTCGAGTATTGTCAAATATTCATCAACAGCGGTCTTGAAAATAATTCCTGTTCGTAAATAATTTTTTAAGACTGCAAGTAGCAAGGGTTGAACTTGTACTCTTCCAAGTTTGAAACTCAGAGTCAGTGCTTATTAGCCTATGTTTATTAGTGTTTATATGCCGTGTTTATATGACTTGAAATGTTAGCACATTTTTATGGAGTTTTGTTAATTTTCTATGAAAGTTTTTATTAACAAATTTACTTGTGTTATGTATATTAGAACGAAATCTAAACTAACTGTAGAATAATTGAATTAATTAATTAATTATATTTTTATTTTTAATTGTTAAATTTCAATACTATTCTTTTCGTAGAGGCATTATTTATTGCATGATTTTTCAATACTCTTATTCTTATGTATAAAGCCTAATCTGGGAACCTAATACGGAGAAAGTCAACCTAATGTTATTCCACGATTTCACGGGCGAGACCATATATTTTTAATAAAAGTTATAATTTAACGTTAGTTATGACGGAAGTGACTACTATATTTAATTGAAACCAGGATATGGTAATCGATTATATTGGTAATCGATTATTGCAAAGAACGACTAGCAAATACTTGAGACTTAAGTGTGTGGAGTAAAACTATAATTATTATTCGAGAAAGATATTTAAATCAAATGCAATTTTAGTTAGATTTTTTCAATAACAAAGAATTTCTAATGAAAATATAACAAAAATAATTTTCTTCTCTTGTTAATAAATGAATACTTCCTAAAAGTTATTACCTAAAATCATTCTAGAGACAATTTTAGCAATAAGATTGGCACATTCAGTGTAAGTTTGTTCATCCTCTACTTTTCTAAGGGGTCTTTAATAATTGCGTTTCAAAAATATTGGACATATATTCTTAATAATATTTGCATCTCTATTACAAACCAAAACACGAAAATAAATTAGTAAATAATTAATGACTCATTGGCACACAGCAAATTCATCAAGTTTATCTCTTGGTTGGCAAAATATTTTCATAAAATTTCAAAAATTTGTCAATACTTACGGTGATTTATATTCCTCAACGAACTTATTTTTTTCCGTAATTTAATTAAACTTTAAATATTTTTAGCTCAATTTGTGCTTAATAAACCTCATAATTCAAATTAATTGTGAGCAACATGTTAACAACACCGCATTTTTTTTGAATAAAAATTTATTACCACCTAAGTTCTTGTTTATGAGAACTGATTATGATAATTAAATGTATCTAAGATACTCGTAAGATTGTGTTCGTATGATAGACATGAAGTATCAAGGCAAAAATATGACCAGAAGCGCAAACTAAATTAATGGAACAACGATTTTCGTTTGTCTTTTCAGGTGATCTGATTTATGAACGAACCACGAAGATCAAAGTTCTGAAAACACGGAAGCGGTCTGAAAACATCAAATGGTTTTTGTTTAATATCTTTATCTTTTTCAATTTTCATTAATAAAGATTGCTACGCTATTCATTGTTGAACTGGTGTAATTTTTTTAACAAATTGCTCAAGCACAGATACATCGAATATGACTTGATTTATAATAATATGAGTCTTCTCTGTGATTGGAAAATTACTAATTAACAATGCTTGTGTAAGACTCAATATAGCTATTTATTTTTTGAACAATTAGTAATTAATTTAGTGCATATCCCTTTGGCCATTCTTAGGTTTTTGGTGAAAATCATATCTAATATAATTTTTATGGTATCGCACTGGATGAACTTATTATTGTACTCCAGCATTATTGCATTCCAACTTAGATATTTCAAACCATTATTCTTAGTCAACAGGAATGATTAGAAGAAACACTTGAATTTATCGACGCAATCAATTTCTATTCAATTGGGTTAAAATTAAATAACCAAGTATATTGTGAAATTTATTCAAAAGAATTAAGAATAACCTCACACCAAAGATTTTCTCCTCTGTTGATTGTTAGATTTGTCTTGATTTATCCCTGTTGAGGAGGTTTCATTCATATCGGCAATGCTTTGACGTGAATTTAGCACCTCCATATTTGATATGCTAACTGCTACTTGAGTAGGGGAATTTGCAGGATTTCCCGGATTACCCCATGAAGACATTAATACATTGGGGTTTATTTCCATCCCAAACATCATTTTATTTGCATGCATGTGGTCTGTGCAAAGATCGCTAATATAAAAACACATTTGTGTTGCGAGTGGCTTGATTTAACTATAGACGCCCGCTTCAGTCACAACTAGCTTGGTGAAAAAGACGCTGAAAAAGTTGTGTATCGCGCCTAGCTTCATTACTCCTTCAAGATCTTATCACCAAGGGTGGCCCCACCAGTACCTACGCTACCAACGACATTGCTCGAAAAAATATTGCAACCGCTAAACCCCCTACCACGACAAGGTGACAATTCCCGTTAGGCCCTATGCTCCACGCGATGAAGGGGACTACAGTAAATAAGTAAATAATGAATTACTTGATTTCTACAGTATTTTTTAACGAGAATACTTTGCTTTTTAAGAAGCAGCTGAACTGCTGCAAAACAATGTAGTCACATCTATAACTGAATATATTCTTACTTTAAATTTAAAGTCAGTCATTTCCTGTCGTAAAAGCCTCAACGAAATGGCTCAGTAGTATATTATCTAAGTGTCGGACACAGCTGTATAGAGAGAAACTCTATTCCAATTGATCCTGCTAAGAAACGAATTTTTTCTAGAAAAAGAACATCGTGTTCATGAAGCTACCTGTAAACTTATCATCGGGAAAATATTTTTAAACAAAGTAGATGAGTGATGGAATTGTGCAATACCATAAAAAAATCACAGAGTTTTCTTATAATGCGAAGAAATGAAATCAAAGTAATTATCCAATACAGTGTCACCACAGGACACTGTATATAAGGTCGATACACCTCGAGAACGGGCTTAACTTGAAATGTGTACTGCAGAACCTGCTAAGATGAGGAGTAAAAAAAGAACATCAAACAAATTCTCTATTTCTGTCTAGTGCATAATAAAAAAGTAATGAATATATTTGGTAGTGCTTATGTGGGGACATATTATGTGTTGTTAACATTATGACAGAATCAGAATTAATAACTCTTCTGTAAGGTCACAAGTTATGTTGCTGTAAGTGTATACGTTAACGTAAAGTAACTACTATTATATTATTATGGAAAAGAGATAGTACACTGCGACCTAAAAGAGCTATTGTACCCTTTAGTCGGAGTAGAGTGTTTCTCCTAGTCCAATTTCTTCAATGAAAGACAGTATATGACCTATCTTTACTAGTCTTGAATCCATGAAATATCTTCCAAGATGCTTCTTCCCTCACATATGGTATGTGGTTTCACTCTCTTGTTTACATTATCTGTAGTCTGAGTTGGATTGGATGCCTGACTTTGTTAGGTGTTTATTCAATCTACAGTGACCGGTTAGTAATCTCGTAATAATTCTTAGATTATTCTTTGTTTGTTCCATACAATCCTTGCAGCGTTTTATATTAGGTTGTACGTCCTTAAAATCATTTTAGATTATGATAGTCTTGGTAGCTTTTCCCAGTATATATCAATGTCGGCAACTACTATAATGAACTAATTTATTTTAATAACAAATACTTAAATTTATAAAACATTTGTCATATTTTATTGCTGTTCAGTAATTGCTAAATAACTATATTACGAACACTTCAATAAACCTAGCATTGAACTACCTTAAAAGTCAGATTTTATTACGCTATTTAATGCTGAACTAGTTTAGTAATGTCTATTGTTACTAGAAGGGACAATGATACACCTAAATCTATTAAATTTATTGTGTTAAGTAATAGTTTATATACGATACTACGTATTCGTATCAAACTCTAAAGTGGTTATTCAATGTGCAAAATGGGCTGAAACATCAATATTGGACATGAGTCATTCTATAAAATATATGCGTTTTTGTTAAATATATTTTCTCACGAGTGTACTATATATAAAAACTAATTTGTCTGAAATCCGTGCAAGTTTAACATTTAAAATATTTTGTCTAAAAATAATCGAACTCTTTAAATTGTTAGCGCTCGTTATTGATCGACAATTTTAAATGAAAAGACTTTGATTTATAAAAAAAAATGCGACTTTTTTATGCTCAATTGGCAAATAAAACACGTTAATTAATTTTATCAAATCATCTATAAAATTTGGATGCTAAATTTCCACAAAGCAAAAAATACTACATAAATTGGGTACGTTTGCGCCGTTGTGGTGGCACCACAAATCATCGCCAGACCGACATATGCTACGCCCCTCGTACTTTTCAGTTTCAGTTCAATAGTCAAAATCAAATAATTTAGTTTAATAAATCGAAATCAACACAAATGCGCCACTTAATCTAATTAATTTTAGTACTTCGCTGCAGTTTTTAATTAATTTTTTTCGTTTTTTTGAAAATTCTTTTAGAATTTTTCACCAACTTTTCACGTTACACGTACAGACACAGACGCAAAAGTGTCCAAGTGCTGACTTTGCATTCAGTTTTTCCCATGCCTTCGCTGTCTTTGTCGCGCTTTCATGGTTTGGTGGTCGACCACAATCGATTCGAATGTTCTATAGCTATTTTGCGAACTCAAATTGTTCAGATGCGCAAAACGAAACGATCGAAAGGTGATCTTCTAATTGATTAGGGACGGAAAGTCGAGCGATTATTTCAGTCCGGAACCGTGAACGAGACGCACGCATTTTTGTTGCGGTAATTAGTGGCGTTTTTTTTTCTCGGTCATAAAATCTAAATTGATTAAGTTTACTTAAATTTCCGAATCTAATATAACTCCATTTCTGAATTTTTTAGTTTTAATCCACGAAATTTTGATTCTCTCCTGTTCTTGGCTTAATTTTCAAATACAAAATGGTAAGCAGCCACGAAAAGCATTAAATATACATAATGCGATATAATATTCTAAGAGAAGGAGTTATAGATAAAAGTGCGAATTTATAAAAAAACTGCAGTGTAAATTAAATACTAAATAATATTAAATAATAATAATGGGATATAAAACTTAAAACTATTTTCTAAAAAAAATTGTTTAGGAATAATATATTACGTCACCAAAAAAAATGTTAATATATATTAAAAATATATAATAGAATATATTTAAATAATTTATCTATGCGAAAATATTATGTAAAAAATATTGGTTTATGTATGTGATCCTGATAAGAAGGCTTTTAGAAATGAAACTTCAGTAAGACATATTAACGGGTATGTGTATCCCATATTCAAAGAGATACATACTCTATAATATCTTACTAATCAGATGTGTACATCAGATATCTAAAATATTTTTTTCAATAGTGGTAAGTACAGGCATGATTAAATATGATTCTTTTTTTCGCTTTTTTCTTGGATTTAATTATATCATCAAACGGATAAATTTTCACGGGCAAAAGGTAACTCTACATGAATTTGTCCAGTTTTGATCAACCAATTTATTAGCTCACCATGGAAGATGGGACGTACAGTAATTTAACCGTTACTTACAGTTTCCAGTTTCAAAAAAAGGATTTTAGTAGAAACTATATATTCTATAAACTATATTCTTAAAAAAAATTTTAAAACTTACAATAAAAATAAATGTACTCAGAGTGAATATATGTAACGGGAAATGGGAAATCCTTAAAATGACACAAAATAAATAATATAAAAGAAGAGTTAACCATTCTTCTGTTGTAATGACAAAAAGAAGTTATGATTTTTATGAAAGACATATTCTTTTTTATTTATTAAAATAAATATTTTAAAATTAACCATTTTTTTCATATAACCATTTAAAAAGTGTTACGATTTTTCAAAAAAGATATGTCCATTTTTCATTAAACAGAATATTATGAAATATATATCCAATAAAAAAATTGTTCGAATCTCTTCCAGCAATCGTATTCTCTGTAATTGACAAAAGTAATATTTTTCAGAAATTATATGATAATGAGATCATCATCTTCTAAAAAACAAACTCTTTGTTTATTTCTTTTTCTCATTACATTGGATGGATTTACTTTAAGATAAAGATAAAAGACAAAATTGTGAAGATATATATTTTAGAGTAATAAAAAACTCACTCTGCGTAGTTATTCTAACACATCTAATTAATAGGAATAGGTCTCAGGTATGATTATAATCTCAAAATCTGTTTCCTTAAAGTGAAAAACATGTTTCACAATCCGCATTTTACAAAATGAATTTGTTGCTGTGAAAAATATTTTGTACTAACAAATTTCTTAATATGTATTTGTTTGAGATACAATAGACATACCGTACCTTTTGAAGTTATCTTTTTAAACAAATATATTTGATTTAACTGTTTTATATAAAAATATGTATAATTTGTATATATATTTGTTTAAAATTTTGTTGACACATGTTAACAATTAAAATGATTTGTGGATGATTAATATAATTTTAGGAATAAAAAAGTTCGATATAACTAATTGATGTATAATTTGATATATGTTGGATCATTAGATAAAATCTGACAAATGCATATACTAAACACTTTTAAAAAGCCGAATATTATGTTTTTATATTGCCATCAATTTATTGTTTGTATATATGTTTATTATACATATATACTCGTTTTGTATTTCTTATAATAATACCAGCTTTAAGCTGGTAAAAATTTAAAGCCTTCGATTTTTATTAAGAATAAATTATGAACTTGAACTGATAAAAAATGGGATCCTTTGTCTAGAAGGCAAAATTTTATTATTTGTTATTTTATTATTACTTTGTCAATAAGATCTTATAGTCAATATCATAAGGAATACCTTGGGTTGAGTTTTTAATATCGTAACTCATACACCAGATAAATGATTTTTGTAAATGTAATAATGTAATAATAATATATTATAAGATTTATTCGAACTTCGTAAAAAATGAAGTATAGCAATTACTGATACATAATTGGTAAATTACTATACTTATATGTCGAAACGATTAGTTATACAGTGGCTTATCTATTGGACAATTATATTACTTTAATATTAATTTTGGCATTTGCATATTATTGAAGTAATTTTAACAATAATTTTAATTGCATTAAAAGCAATATCAGTGCTGTCTAACCCACGATAAATGAGCCTTACTTAAACATCAACAGATGTATAACGATCCCTTGTGATAATAAAAAAGATATTGCATGAATATCTATATCTGTTGTTGAGTCTCCAGTAAAACCTATTTAAAAACCGTGGGAACGCATTGTGCAGACTTCCCAGCTTTCATTATTTTAATCTAGAAAGAAGCGATACCTCAAAATAATAATGAAAGTAATTTTTAAGTGTAAACCTATATTCAATGATTTTCTTGTCGCCTATGTTTTGCTCAATTCAATAAACTGTAAGACACAGGAATTGTATTTGGCATACCAAATAGATTAATTAGAATGATAAATTATGTAAAAAGATAAACTTTAAAATCTAGAGAACTTTTAAAAACTGGAAAACTAAAATAAGGTGATGGTACATTGGCTTTACTATGCAACCTTACACTTGAAATAGTAATACACAAAAGAATCGGTAATCCAAATATTGTCTTAGATACTATCGTTTAAAGACGACATAAAAACTATTTCTATTCCATGAGGAGAAGTAGAAAGCAATAAGCTAGACTTACGAAACTGCATCAGAAATGCATCAGAGATATGAACGATCTCCAGAATGAATGGATATGCTTTAAAATACTTGCGACTAAAATTTTACAAAATGTATTTGTTCTTTGCTTCAAAGAACATCTGACGTCAGCGATATGACTCCAAACTACACCAGTTTCACAATAACAATACGTAGTATTTAATATGAAACTTGCGTGCCTAAGAGGGGCAGGAAATATTTTAAGAAGGAACTAAGGTAGTTTCTCTAGAGGAGTACTTCGGTTTCTGATAAAATCTGCTAAGTTGGTAACTAAATTTAAAATCTGCTATTGGAAGGACGCAAAATACGATATTACCAAAATTTCTTTGATTAATTTGACGAATTTGATAAGGTACGAGAAAGGACTAATATGCAAAAAAATCACTAATGGTTGATTTACACAAACAAAAATACTTTGAAAATCATTCCATAATTTTCAAAGATTATTTCTGGATTCAATGAACTAAAATATATTTGAATAACTACATTCAATTTCGAGTAGATAAAAAAAATAAAGAAATTCATTGAAATAAAAAAAAGCACTAACATATAGTAGAGGCATCGACAACAGAAGTTTGAAGAGATAATATAATTATATTATTTAATACAATTCAATCCCTAACGGTTTTGTTAAAATTTGTGAAGAAAAAATATTTTTAAGAAGTTATTTTTTTTATACTTATTAAGCTTAACATATAACTAATAAATAATATATAAATTTTATTTTTTTTCATTATTTTGCAGTCAGAGGAAGAGTATGATAAGGAACAACTCAGAAGTACGTTCAATAATCTTACTTATTATTAATTTGATTATATCTACTTTTTACTATATGTGAATACAGTTTTGCGTAATGCCTTCAAAGCCTTCGATCATGACGAAAAGGGCGTTATTGACTACGCTGATGTGCAGACAATATTAGAAATACTTGGACAAAAATTAGACGATAAAGCCACAAAAACTTTGATCAAAGAAGTCGACAAGGCCAACAGTGGGAGATTAAATTTCAATCAATTTTGTCGTCTAGCAGCGCGGTTTGTTGAAGTGGAAGAAGATCAAGGCGCCTTAGCTAGTGAACTTAAAGAAGCGTTCCGTGTTTATGATAAAGAGGGTAAAGGTTATCTGACGGTTCAGACGCTACGTGATATTCTTCACGAACTCGATGATAAATTGAGTAAAAATGACTTGGATATGATCATTGAAGAAATTGATGCTGATGGCTCTGGTACTGTTGATTTTGATGGTATGTATTTTCATAACATTTTTATAGAAACAAAATAAATAAAATGTTTTCAAAACATTAAAACGTTATAATAATATTAACTCAATTAATACATTAATATAATATATTATTAACTCAGCTTGAATTTTGCTGGTTTTTGACCAAAATTGAGTACTTCTTGTGGATACAAGATATGTTTTGAATTTAAAAAATAACGAAGCAATTTAAACTGGTTTTGATTTTTTTGACAATTTCTAGAAAAAATTTATTTGAAACATTAGTTTAGATTTTTTAAATTATAAATATGTTTTTGTTTATTTTTTACTTACAGAATTCATGCAAGTGATGACAGGTAAAAATGTTTATGACATTACAATTAATCGTCAGTTTGTCTTTGAACCCAGCTTGTCACACAATTCCTGTCCTGACCGTCGATATCGTCTTCATCGCCGTATTGAAACTTATTTTGATCGTTTATACGAACAAATGTTACGTCCATTCGATTGGTTTTATCAACAAAGTGTGCGCACATTCTCCCATCCCTCTCCGAAAGCAATATGTCATATAATAAAATCAAGTAAAAATCCAAGAAATATTAATAACGTGAATGTGAATGCTGTACCCTGTTGTTATCGTCCGACCTATCGTCCGCGCTTCCCTAAGTGGGTGCCTATTTTGACTTTGTATCGAGAAGTTGTGCAAAATCCTTTCAAACGTCGTCGTCACTATATGATCACATACGATTAACATGTTCGATTTTTGATCCTGTGCCTGTTTAATGCAGTTTGCTACCCACCGCTCACTTTCATTTGTTCATTTGTGTTACCTTGCATTTTAATGTTATTTTAATCACTGCCAATTAATGTTTTTACAATATATTAATTTATTATAATTTAATATTAATATCAGCACTAACCGCCGCTTCTCCATTTCTTATAGGTTAAACTTTTTAAGTAACGAAAGTACAAAAATATTTAAATATTTAGTTATATTTTGGCTGCTAATACGTATGTATCTCTTTTTGCAGTTGATGTAGAAATATCGAATATATATGAAATATAACACACTGTAATCATTTTATTTTTGCATCAATAAAAGAGTTAAATATATACATTACTTTAGTGTTTCATTTTAAAATAGTTGGTTGCATGTTTCTTTACAATCTTTAATATGATAAAAAAGTATATTTTAAATACTAAATATTGGTTGTTCTTATACATATATATATAATTTACTCGCCCTTAACGCTTCAATATCTCATATCAATTTTTTGCTTTTAATTTTAAGTATACTAGTTTAGTCCTCCCCTATTCTTAATAACTCCACTGCTTTGGTTTAAACCGAAAGTTTACCTCTTCCTATTCTAAATTTATAAATATATTCCAAATTTTCAGATAACTTCGAAAAATAGGTCTTATAAAATACTTAGTATAAGTATATTCTGAATATATGTTAAGGTTATGTCATATCATGGACGTGGAAAAGATTAGCAACTAACCCGTAAGCGAAAAGCATTGAGGAAAGTGTAAAAGACATTGAGACATCATCGAAACTATTGGTATACAATATACAATATACATATAAGAATTTATAATTATATATTATTATTATATATGGGTTTTATTACATTAATAATGGGAGATAATTGATATCTTATAGTATTAAATTTTAAACTTATTTTAAAGTGTGTAAAAGTATGTGTTGAATAAAAAATAAATAATTTAAAAATAATTAAATATAAGTCTTATTACAACTTAATGGTATAAAATATTTACTATTGTTATATTATTTTATTGAATATTTATTTTCTGAAAAAGAATTATAGTAAATAAACAAGTTATAGTTTAAAACTTCGGTTTATTTAAAATTGAATGTATGAAGCAATAGAATATACACAGTTTAAGTCCACAGCTTAAGCATGCTCTAAATTTACATATAAAACAAATTTACAAAACAAATTTTTCCTTTTTGCGTATTGGTTGTACCGCAAGTGACATAAACATTATAAAGCAGTTATGATGTTTACAAATCTGTTAATAAACGCTTGTTACTCTGCCACAACCATGAATTTATAAGAGAATTTATATAACGCTTTCGAAGAGGTTGAAAGAACTATGAAAATGTCGGAGGGTCCAGACGTCCCTCCAACGATGAAACCGCGAACAAAATTGATGAGATTATGATTGTTAAAAAGAAAATTACCGTGAAACAAACTACTGAAGAAAGAGAAATGTCATACGATACATGCATAAAGGAAAATGTTGATAACCTGTGTTAATCCAATAGTTCATTCATAGATACATACTTTATTATTGAATACAAAGTCATATTGCTAATTTCACAATACATAATTAGTTAAACATTTGTCTCCAATTTATCATGAATTTACATTAATATAATTAAGAGAGATCTTTCAACTAAAAAAAATCCGTATTTCATTTACCATTTACCATCATTTACGTTATTCTAGAAAAATATAACCTTCATATTCAATGAAATAATTTACAGATATTTTTGGGAGCTGATTATTACTGAGAAGTTATAATATTATTTTATGATCGTTTTAAGCGGTTTGGGAATTAGAATAATAATATTTTTTTTAATATCTTAATATATATAAATATTATTAAATATATTTTATATATTTAATAATATATAATACATTATATAATATATATAATGTATATTTTATATATATATTTATTTATATAATCAAATTTGACGTAATCTTTAATATAAGGATGGATTAGCTTAATATGAGTATTTGTAGGCCAAACATTGATATTGAGGAGTAATGAAGCTAAGCGCAGTCCACAACGTAGCGTCGGTAATGAGCGGCTGCAAAAAGCGTCTGTACTCCTGGTTAGGAGCGGTCTATTTAAAAGTGACCTATCACTACGTGCAAAACTTACAGGATCGACATTGCGTTTGTACCCTATCGTCAGAGCTTTGCTCCATTCCTTAACTATTTTCTGAAAATAAAATATGACTCTAAAGCCGATGCAACTACAGTCTCCAAGTGGTACTCATATATGTACGGCGAATCCAACTGCTTCGGCAGCACGTACAAGGGATTTGGAGGTGCGAAACTCACGTTTAAACAGAATCTCTTCGTTAGGTACAAATGTAACCACTTCTTCTTCCACTTCTACGGCCAAATGTACCCCTGGGAACGCAATGGAATGAATAAATATTGATATTGGTACCTATGACTACCAAATAAAGTAAAGCATCTATTTAGATTTTGCTGTAGACATTTTTGCGAATTATAGGAGAGCTTAGAACTTTATTTTAAAAATAGACGTAGCTGTCAACGATTTTGTAAAGATTATTTAAACCGTGGTTTTAGACCAGATCTGAGCGGTATTTGAACTCATACACTAGTTCTGCATTAGTTCTGGTAGATACACATCGTGTCAAAAAGATGGTCATACTTTACGTTAAATAATTTAATTTAATTAATTTTTTAATTATGAAATAATATTGTCAAAAAATTATATTTTGTTTAAAAATTAAGAATATATATTATTAAGAATATATTAATTTAAAGTATAAATATGAAGCTCGGTTTATTAATTTCGTTTTGAATTTAACAGAAAGATCTTCGTTGGTCCATTAATTAATAATCAATTAACTTTAGAAATCACATTATTTATATGCATTTTTGTTGCATATTTTGAAAGTGTTTTGTTATTTAAACTTATAAAGCAATGAAGTGCATTTAATTACATTTTTTAATTATTTTGTGATAAAGCGATAATTTTATTTATTCTAATGAATACTTTTTAATTCAAGCCCTTTAGCAGTTAAAATAATTGTAGTTAAAAATAATATTCACGTATAGCAATTAATGGCTATGTTTTGGAAAATAAATTAACTTGAGGTGTAAAGTGATTTCATAAACGTGAGTTTATAATTCTGATATAAATTTAATTAAAAAATTATTTAAATAAAAATTGCCAAACTCAGCTTATATTGGCGCTATAAAAACTCCATTAAATGCATAGTTGCTCAGTGGTAAAATCATTAAACGTAATGAGTTGATATGTTTTTAGCTCATAAGATTTGCCCAAAATCGACAAATTATGTACGTTCACTTTTAATGGCCACATTTTTTGCAGGTTCAGTTTAGCAAGAATGTCTGTGCCTCCACCCTGAAAAAAGCATACTACGAGAATACCTGAAGCCATTGAAGTGGAACCGATTATTTGATAAATGATTAATGCAGTATTTAAATTGAGAAATGAAGTATTGAATTGGAGCAAAATTTATTGCGAAATTAATTTTAAAAAGTTTGTTCAGCAGAAGTTGAAGTCTATTTATCATTTTTTAACTCCGTCCAGATATTTTCCAAATTTGTTATTTAGATTTTTTAAAAAAATTTTTGTTAATAATTAAAACATAAATTCTTAGCATTACTTTATTTATGTGATTATTAAAATAAAATTAGAATCATTAATATTAAATTTATTAACATTAATTTATATATAAAAGTGTGTTCACTTTACATGTAATTAAAAAGTTTCATTAATATTTTTCTATTCAGTGCCGCAGTTTAAGCGGATGTTTTAAAAATATTGCAATTTCTTGACTTAGATTGGAATAAGTTTGCAACTCTTAACAGGTTACTCAGATTTCGATAAAAGGATTCTAAGACCATATAACCCTGATAGACTTGTTTAAAGCGCTCTCTATCATTTTTGAATGTCATTCAAGTTGCACTCTCTCTTGCTCAAATTTATTCTAGCGACTAAACTTAAACATGCTCACATTCAAGAGTTCTCATTCAAGCAAAATTTTTGAAGAATAGGGGTATTTACGCACGCTGCAAGTGTGTTAGTGCAACCACACAAAAACATGCTATTGAATGACGAATGCAAGTTTTGATGGGCTCGCCAACATGTTGGCTACGTGTTATTCAAAAGTGCAGGCTATCATTTTTGAGTGGATTTTCTCTCTTGAATGACACTCAAAAATGAAAGTCTGTACCGCGTTTAAAGCGTTATATAGAATAAGATAAACTAATGCATTTTTTATGATATTGGCTTTGTTTGACTTCGATCAATATGTTTTCGTCAAATGAGTCTACTGGTTTCGATATAGTTGAGATGCTTAAAAGCAATACTAAAGCTTAGATTAGATCTTGGACTGGCTGTCTTATCAACAAGTGGTTAAACTGTTAAAAAAAAGGATGAAAATTCAATTGTATGTTGATCCTTTTTTCGAGTCAGCGCAACTGTGCACTTTTACTCTTTGATAGCTGGGGGTACTACAGGGTCCCACCCATCCCATTGACTAATTTATGTATTCCTTATAAGCTTCATGATTATTCAGTGATTGATCTAAAATCTGCGTACCTCCTCGTGCGGTAAGTGATTACTCTAAGATTAGATAGTGCTAAGCTAATTGTTATAACGAACTTCACTGGTTGTGCAAATGGATATCTACCTTCAACATCTGGTAGATTTTTTCAACGTTTTTAAGCAATTTCTAGACCATTTTAAGATATAGGTTCTGTTTATTGTTCTTATGCCAGAAAGTTTATTGCGATCGCGTAATAACCTTGCATACCAACTTTTCTTGCTGTGATTGATTGTCCTATGGTTAATATGAATATGTGGTAAATTTTCATTAAGAGACAATTTTTAAAGAAAAAAACTGTAAATCATTAATGTAACATACTTAGCAGGTTGTACTACTACACTGCCAATACAAATGCTATTACCAGTACAATTGCTATTACCATTGCTGTTAGAGATTAGTTAATAATAGAAGTCATAGCTTATTTAAACATAGAAGAATAATTCGTTACTAATGGATTTGTTGCAGAAGCCATAGACAGATAAATTTTAGTTGTTTTCATTTTGGACATACAAGTATATACCCATACTGTCCAATCATGTCATAAGTAGATAAACAGAGCTGGGCAGGACATACTCCATATAGCATGAAGGCTAATGGTTTATCTTCTGGTTTTCTTTATTCAAAATTACAAGTATTGTGTAGTAAACATATATCACTAAACATTTACTTAAGTAAATAATTTATAAATGAATTCTATGTTTTTGAATATTATTTAATCAAAAAATGATATGAATTGACAGATTAATAACTAATCGGTCATTATATCGAAAACAGGATATAAAAATCTCAATAAAACAATACTCTAATATATATTTTACCAGTATTAAGGGTAGAAGTAGTGGCATTATTATTTCTTATTTTAAAAGAGAATACCATATAGTGAGACTCAAGTGATATATTCTATTATACCGAGTTGTTTTAACGGATAACTAAGTTCCACAAAGGGTACTCGAGGACGACTCACGTCTGTAATGGCTATCTAAGAAGAAGAAGGCTTTTATTGAACTCACAATATATTTTGTACTGTCTATATATGAGCATTCACAGAGAACGTATTTAAGCGTTTTAATATCCACTTCATAAGAGCGAGTAAATAGTCTCCCAGAACAACCCAGAGTTGATGCTAAAATAATTCAAAATAAAAATCGTATGTATGGTGCTTCATAAAAAGTTCGTTAAATTTTAATTTTAAAACGTCGGATTAAGTTTCTATTAATATAATTAATTCACGCAATTAATGTAATTAATTCACGCAATTAATGTAATTAATTCGCGCAGTTATTGTAATTAATGTAATATAAATGATTTAATATAATTTAATGCGAAACTAATCTAAAAAAAAATCTTTAGTTTACTAATGAAAATATAGTGTTGAATGAGTAAATACAATAAAATATTCTCAAACTTTCGTTTGCTTATAAAGCAATAATTTCACATCACAGAGTTTAGTCACCCATTATATATATAATGAATATGAATATTTAACTAAATATATGTGTGTTAAATAAACAGTACAAGGGGGTATTACCCATTTGTGAATTTTAGTATTACACGTTAAGTCATGATCAATATCACTCTGTATTATAATGAAAGTTTATATTCACAGTTGCCTTCGATAATTTTAGTGGTTTTGCATTCCGTTAGGTTAGATCTACATTGTTGTAATCTAATATAATTTAAAAATTTCTTTTACAAAAAACTAAATCTATTAATAGTTTATTAATTTAGAAATCGTTTATAATAAATTTTATGTTTTAAATTAGTGCTTTTCAATTTGGGGCGCATTTTTTTTTAATTATTATTTAATAACCCTAACCATATAAATTGTAGAGCCTACATTTAAAACAATCCAATAACACAACAATTTTTAAATTTGCTAATATGAGTGATCATAGCAGAGAGCTATCACATTATACCTCGAGATATTGTTAGCATCATAACAGAACTTTTGTTTATGGCCTATATTTCGACTAGAAGTGCCAATGCTTATATAAATATTGATAAAAATAATTTTTATTGTATATTTGTATAAAAATTGTTGAAGAACTAAAAATAATATTATGTGTATGTGGTGTGTTGTTAGCTGGCTAGATAAATACAATAGTAAAACTTGAATAATAATCCATAATCCATCCAAGCTATAATATTGAAATAATTCAGAGGAGAATACGCGTTGGCGTCACAGAAGCTTGTCGGACGAACGTTTCGGATGCTTTTAACCTGATGCTACGCCTGCTATCCATCGTTCTTCACAACACAAATATTGTTTGTAACAGCGCTGTTAGGCTGAAATCGATAAGCGTCTGGTCGAAACGAACATATGGACAAAATAAGATTCTATGTACAATTCCCAACTATCTATATAGGATGGCTTCGAATTATCAGTGTCTAGACTCTGAAGTAAATTTTCAGATAATAATCCCTTCAAGAAAAGAATGGAAAAGAAAAAAATTTTAAGCAAATTACAATATCTCGCTTTGGTGCTTTTCTGGTTGCATCCCTGGTGGTACCGGTTTACATTACTCTAGAGACTATTAAGAGACCTACTTGCCTCTACTCTGCCAATGACATTTGAAAGGCACTTCAGCCATGTGCAACTTCTTGGTTAACATGGCCGACCTATAGCAAAACTAGATCAAAAGAAATCATCATCAAAAGAGACCGCATGAACAGCAAAAATAAACCATAAAATCTATTCTTTCTGAATGCCAGGCTTTGACGTCCAGAAGAAACAGGTTTTTTAGGAAGATCCCCATCCCATCTTATTCTTGGCCTACTTCTGTGTCTGGTTGTCATCGGCTTTGCGTTAAATATGCTGTTCGGCTTTCTCTCCGACCCCATTCTTATTACATGAGCAGCCCATTATAATCATTGGTATATGTTACAAATGATATATAATTTATTGATTATTTATGTATTGAATATTTGGTATACCTAATTGGTAGAAGTTTTTTATATGAACATGTCATACACAATAACTTACAAAAGTGCGAAACTGTCCAACATTGCTCAAAGTCATTGCATACATATATTCTCAATGAATTGCTTGTAATAAAATTAATTAATAGTTTTTTGTGGTCATTGGTTGCAATTTATTTAAATAAATATACGTTAAATATTTCATTGATTAAATCGTGATATGTGACATTTGCACCTAAACAATTTTAATTGCTGACATAAATATTTATAGAAAATTAAGTGTCTCAATGTACGTGTTATGTCAATTCATAATTGGATTTTTTTGAACATATGTTTACTTAGAAAATAAATTAGAAGTGTATTAGCAATGTTAACGATTTGTAGTTATCTCCTAGCACTACACCAAATTAGTTTTTATTAAAATCAGTGGGAAGACTATAGCTATTTTTATGACTTTATAGAAAAGTTTTTATTCTTACACTTGAAATTCTCGAGTCATACTTGGTGAGTAGCTTAAACATCAGGTCCTCTCGTCTTTCAAAAGTTCTTCACTTCCTCAAAAGAAACTGAAGATTTTTATAGAGTTCCATCGTAGAATGGACTTTCATGCACTGAGTGCGGTATATCTTTTATAAATGATTTTTATATGGCAGTTTTAGTGAGGAAATGTTTACTAAGCTGGTCTTCTTACAATAAAATAAATTGATAGCACCAAATTTAAGAAGATGTTAGATACCTGTTAGATATCTTTAAAAAGCTACGACTTTTTACGTGATGCCATTGCTATAATAGAGGTATGCTTGCTGTTCCATGGAGTAGAATAGAAATACATACTTCTATTTTGGACTTGCTTAATTTTAAAGTTATCGATAAGAAATTATGGTAATGGACACTCTAAAGAGGATAAAAACCAAATGGGAAGTGGCGGACAGTAACAGAACATAAAAATGAATATATATGCATATGATCATACATTAATGTATGGGTTTCAAAAATATTTTCGGTAATGTGATGAGTAAAGTTAAAACACATTCAGTACTGTTCAGATTACTCGCATGTCTTAAGTGAGACGTCAAAGCGAACGGCTATATTGAAATAATGCTTTATGAAGTATAATAGGTAGCATATACGCATCTTATTGTTTGGCTCGTGATTACTTTTAATCAGTAATTTTATTTGTTGCATTTATATGCATATATATATTTTGCATTCAGATATATTTAAATCTAAACGCATTTTTAAAACAATAGGAGCTTATTTATTTTTATGCATGATTTATGAAAATTTATTTTCATAGCATTTAATTATCAACTTCGTTTTAATCATATTCAGTCGCTTTTGTAATGAAAACAAATTAAAAAATAAAATTTAAAATTGTTTACAACTCTACTAAAAGTGTAAATACATATTATGCTTAATCACATTTAAGAAGAAAAAATTTTTTTTATAAATTAATATATTTATATACATTTATTAAATTATTCCGCTTACGTAAAACATTAAGTGTTTAGTACTTTACATACGGCATGCACAGTATACGGTTATTTTTAAATCAAATTAATTTATAATTTTAGTTGAATTATATTTTATATGAAGTACACAACAGATCAATATATCAATATAGAACCGAACTTTCAAATCTTCAGTCCAATTTCTTCGATAAAATGAAGTAATAAACTTTATTTTATGAGCTTTATATTTTCATCTGATGTAAGATGCTCAGCTTCTACTTCATAGTTTATGCATCAGTGTTGGGCACATACCTTCAAAATATCTTGTGGCTACACGTTTTTCTCTATAAAACTCTCAAATTCAATTAGAACAATTTTCTATCTTCGTATGACGATAATTCAACATACAGTGCCCTAGCAGAGTTACTATACCGATTCTTAAATTATTTTTACTCAGTTGCACACAATATCTTGAGCATTTTAGATTGCAGCCAATACATATAAGATGATATACATTATTATGCATTATAGTTATACAATAGATCTATAACAGCCATGCCCAATTGTCACCGTGTAGACTTCTATGTTTCGAGTTGTTTTGCTGTATGAGTAAGGTGAACTGGCAGCAGTCCAGGCAACAGCTTTTCATCAACTTTCTTTCAAGTTTCCCGAAACTATACAACCTGAATTTAATAATATTATTCAATGGCGATTTATAACACTCTTCTATGAGTTTGTATGTCACTAGATGAGAAGTGAAGTACTATAATTGGTTCCTAGCCATCAATTAGAATAGTCAGGCACAAAATTAAAATAGACTCTCTTGCTTATCGCCTATAACGCATAAATTTACAAACTATTTACAATATAGAATTAACATACATACTTCTTAACATATATTTAGAGTATAAAAGTTATATTTAAATTACCTACAAGCGTCTGATTGAGTTACATACAAGTTACTTACAAGTTGCATACAAGCTACTTACAAGTAACATACAAGTCACTAACAAGTAACATACAAGTCACCTACAAGTTACATACAAGTTACTTACAAGTAACATACAAGTTACTTACAAGTTACATACAAGTCACTTACAAGTTACATACAAGTTACTTACAAGTAACATACAAATTACAAAAAAGTTACCAACAAGTAACGAAAGAAAAATTGAAAGTGAAAATAATTAGTTTCACTAGAGAAGATATCTTTTTAAATGCTAGAATAAAATTTTTTATTATAAACTATGAAAAGTACGGCCCTCTGTTCCATCTAGGAATAAAAGGATTAAATAATGAAAAGTAGAATAATATTTACATATAGATAAGCCCATGTAGCGAATTTCTCGAGCTTTTATTACTGAATAAAATTCAATCTGTTAAAAATAAATTGTTTAGAAAACATCTATCGGCCGCAAACCAAAATATGAGTAAGTTTTTTGTATTTAAAAACAATTTAAGAAAATCCCCAGTTATAGCAGAAATATCTATTATAAGTGAACTGCTCTTGTATGTACAAATTGTGCAATAAATGTATTATTTTTCACATATTTATAGTATAAAAGGTTATCTGTACAATTAAAATCAACCGCAGATATTCCCCTCTAAAGATTTTTTTGTGTAATTAATCTCTATTTGCCTAAATGCTATGCTTAGCTAAGACTATAAATAACACAGAAAGCGGAATCACTTTCAGATTCTAACTAAGTTTCCTTAAGTAAAGATAAACAGTTTGTTTGGAAGATGTTGCACGGAAGGTTCACAATTGCTATTGTTTTACTTGCCAGTCTTCTGGTGGTCAGTGCCCAGAATAGAAGTATATAGTATTTGGAAAAATATGTGACTTACAGAACTGAATTATATAAATTTGATTTTTTTTATTTTGTAGATTGCGGACAAAATGAGAAATACACAACCTGCGGTACTGCTTGTCCGGAGACATGTACTAGTCCACCAAATCGTGTTTGTACTCAGCAGTGCATCATAGGATGTGAATGCAGAAGTGGTTTTGTTCGGGGCAGAAATGGGAAATGTATTCCACGTTCGCGTTGTTGAGCAGCAATGCTTACAGTACTTGTGAAAATGTGAATGATATAATTATTATGATAACACTATATTATTTGTTAAAGTACATCAGTTAAAATATAATATAAACAGTTTATAAAATTTTTTCAAAGTGATTCGTGGATACTATAAATAATTAATATTGTACTATTGTAATACTGTTGGATAGATTTGTGTAGTCAATATCGTTACCACTTTAAGTCTCTCTTATGTAGTGTCTTGATGATATATAGACTACAACTGTTAGATTAACTTAACTTGAGCAGTCAGTGTTATTAGAAATCTTTTTATATATGTTAGTGAGCTTTTTTGTCTTATATTCAATGAAATTGGGGACTTCTTCATATATGTTCATATTTATTTCTTTTAGAAGTAGACTTAAATATTTTTCTTCTCAGTGAATTTGTTTTTCTTTTAAGTAATTAAATATTAGAGGCTGATATTTTAAATTTAATCAAAGAACACAACTGTCAAAATACAGCATTTTGTATTTTTTTATTTTTAAAATCTGATTTGAAAGAGTCTTATGTCTTTATGTATATTAGAATTTCGCAATTTTTACTGAAGGTTTATTAAAAATAAAAGGTAAAATGCTTGAATGCTTTCTGCAATTTTACTTATACGAATACATTCGAATCGTGTACAATATATATAATGTATTGTATTTAGATATTGATATTTTTGGTATTAGAAAAAAAAGGTTTTTGCATTTTTGGAAAGCAAATGGGACTTGGGCTGAACTTTTTGCCGCCTATTTCAAAACCGCATTTAGCAACCCAAAACAGCAAAAAGGCAACGTATCACAGATTAGCTCTGCTCGAAATATCACAATAAAGAACGTCTCTATAACAGAGATTAAGAATACTGTAAAAAATAAAATCAAATTAAAAGAATCACCGGGATATGATGGTATTACCGGAAAAATTCTAACTGAGTTGCCCCAACAAGCACTTGTATACCTAAGAAACGTGTTTAATTGCGCTCTTCATCTTAAGTATCTTCCGAAAGTATGGAAAGCATCAGAAGTAATAACTACACCCAAACCAAATAAAGATATAACTCTTACAAAATAATACAGACCAATTAGTCTATTACCAGTTAAGTCAAAATTGTTTGAAAAAATACTTTTGTCAAGACTAGAACCGATTCTCCACAAAGAAAAACTTATTCCTGATCATCAATTTGGCTTTCGGAAACAATATTCCACTATACAATAAGTTCACAGAGTAGTAAATAAAATTACAAGCGATATTGACTCAAAACAGTTTTCTTCGGTGGTATATTTAGACATGGGAAAGGCATTTTCAATTTAAAAATAGTTTTTATCAACTCGTTACATGTGGTTTCTAGTTTTACTGGTTTTGTTAGCAATCTTAGCAGCTATTCAGCTTAGCAGCTATTGAAATCAACTTCTGTTTAAATTTCTTTCTACAAATATATATATACCACCCACTGATATCTTCAATATGTAATCAATAAACTAATTAATAATTATATGAAATTTTGACATGTATCATATAAGTTTGTGACATATATGTTTTTCAGTGGAGCCCAATGGAGTGGTATAATCCATTGAGAGAAAATAGTTCACTATCTTTCATGTTTTTTGATATTTTTTGTATTTGACTTTTTTTAATTACTTTTTAGTAAATGAACAACAAAGGTTTACTTACCCAAAAATATTTTAGGTAAGTTAAGTTAATTACGCTAATCTGGTCCTATTGCTAAGCCTAAATAATTTTTCCCCATATAATAAATGGAAACTGGTTAGTAATTTTCTATTGTAAATTTTCTGTGGTGTGCATAGACGGACACGAAATTTATAATATTTTTTTCCAGTACCACATTTTTAGTACATCTCGAATTTCAAGAATGCTACTCTTGGTTTGTTTCAATTCTTGAAATATAATCTATTTCATAAAATTTCCATAATGCTTGAAATTTTTTTTTTTTTTTACACTTTTAGCTATTTGTGATGTTTTCTATTACCTCTTCGTGGTTCTCAGTTAATAATATTTGACTTATTACTAATGAAGATGATGTATTTCTTTTCTCCCAAGTGGAACATAGAGCCAATCAATTTAAGTCTACTTTTATTTTAAATATATCTGGTAATATCATTCCAAGAATAATTAGTTGTACGAAACTCTCTTTCGATTGTTCGTCTTCAGGTCATAGCTGAAGTCCCTGAGTGTCTGCCACCTTGGGGACTCTACTAAAGCGCTTGCTTCACGATATTATTGGATGAAGATTATTTACCAAAATTTAAAGACCCACTGTTCTTTTTTGCTTGTGTTAAAAGTTGAAAACTTGAGGATGATATTAATTTGTCGTTCCAGAGATTTGAAATAATCTTCAGAACAACAATTATTAATACAAAAAATATAATACATATATTATAGAGAAACTAATGAGAAAATTATAATGTCACCTTACATGAATATATATTATAAAAATGATGACTTTAAACACTTGAATATGAGTCAGTAAATTAATAAATTGACCGGTGCGGTGATCATTTCTAAGTCGGAGTTTTTATTTGATAGATATTAGGTTTTATAACAATTTAACTACACTTCACATATATGTAGTATCACTATATTTATATATTTATATATGTATATTTAGATTTAAAGTTTCATTATTTTTTAAAAATATTTTATGGCTGTAATTATTTTAAAAAATTATTGAAAATAGAGTCAGCACTATTTTTACTTATCAAAATTGTCAATTCGTGGCTTTAAAGTCATAATAAAAGCACATTTTAGAAAAACCAAAGCTTGAAATTAATTCCATTTATATTTGTACTTTAGATATGTGATTTTTCACATCTATACATTTGTGACGCAAAATAAAAAAAAAATATTTTTCAAATTAAATTCGTGCCATTTTTATTATTTGTATTTTCGTGATTAATCTTTATTTGTTTATATGGATACATTGGGTTGGCTATAGAAACTTTAAATAACCGTCATTTTAAGTTCAGTTTCATAGTCATATTGAGTTTCATAAAGTGAAGATCTATCAGTTTTCATTGCATTTCAAAAATGTTTCCGAAGTTCTCAATAGTAGTCGTCCTACTTGCTAGTATCTTGGTTGTCAGTGCACAAAGCGAAAGTACTTCAAACTTAACTAGAAAAGATATAGTAAATTTATTAAAATAATTATTCTATGCTTCAGAATGTGGTGAAAATGAAGAATTTTCTAGATGTGGATCCGTTTGTCCGGAGACGTGCAACAGTGAATCACATCGTGATTGTACAAAGCAGTGTATCGTCGGATGTTTTTGCAAAGATGGGTTTGTAAAGGGAAACGATGAAAAGTGCATACCAAAATCGAGTTGTTAGGTGTCTAAATACCAACTGGTCATCTACATTAGCTGGACTTTTTTGTGCTTGAATGTAATAATTTATATATGTTAAATAAAAATTAAGTATGTGCAAAAATCTTGCCAGAAGTTAAGCCAGTGTATATACAGTTAAAAAAAACATGCATCTGCGGAAATATCTTTTTAATATCTTTTTAAAATATTAACATACTTTTAAATAGTATACATAAAAAATAATATTATATACAAATATTGGAAATGTTTTAATTTGTATTTAAAAATCACATCACTGGAATTTTATTAATCATATTTACAAAATCTATTATCTATTAACATTTGCCGCCTATATTTTTTTGAACTAAATAAAATAAAAACTACATCAACAAACTATTTTTTATTATTTTAATTTATTAACATTTTATTTATTAACATTTGGTGCATATAATCCAAAAGCGATTGATAATTTGATACATTTTGATATATTTTGATCGAAACTTTTTAATTAACCTAATTACTGTTTCCACTTATTAAAGAAAACAATAACTTAATTTATGGTGGGATGTTTTGTCAAACTGAATCTCTATAAATAGAATTTAGTAGAGATAAAATATCAAATGATAAATTGAGTTTTTAATTATATCAGAATACAATTACTACATACTACATCCGAACAAACGACATGCTAAGAGACCTTAAATTAGACCCGATCAAAAAATACATAAGGGACAGAGCCCTGAAGTTATATGCGAAAATTGACAGGCTATCTTACTTACCACTATCTAATCTTAGAGTAATCACTCTCCGCACGGGGAGGTACGCTGATCTTAGATCAATCACTGAATAATCATGAAGCTTATAGGCAATACATAAATTAGTCGATGAGATGGGTGGGACCCTGCAGTACCCCCAGCTATCAAAGAGTAAAAGTGCACAGTTGCGCTGACTCGAAAAAAGGATCAACATACTACATTCATATTATTTTTTTAAAATATTATATGTATTATGATTATATGATACTGAAAGATAAGGTCTTACTTAATCCACATATGACCAACGTTTTATTATTACAACTGCAAAATTAACTACTTACTAAATTTTTGTTAATATTATAATAATATAATATTGCTTTGGGTTTTTGAGTACTTAAACCAAGCATTAATTGATTTCATAGTACAGTCTCAAGATATGTACGGAAATTGCAATGCACATCCATTTTATTGTGTTCCAAAAGAAGTTTTTGGCAAGTTTCTTCCACTTTTTGTTTTCGCTTATGAGAACGGTTTCCAAGATTTCATTTGACGTTGGGTCTATACAGTTTGTTGATACTTATTTCGTTCTGGAGTGCTAGGAAGCAAGTTTTCAATTAGAAATTGCAATAGAAATTGGGGCTTGTTTGAAGCATCACATTTGAGTGATTCCAGTGCAATCAAACAGCGTATTATCCACCAGCTTCAAGACAAGACGATTGGACTGAGAGCTTTAAAATTAAACACTGCAGCCATGGTTGATATCGGAAGTACGGAACTTGCATTTCAACTACTATCATTCATTACTTATGCTTATTTTTTTATTTACTCTTCATTTCTTCAAGAGTTCTTCAACAGACGCTGCGTAAATATTGTTGTAATCAATGGATGTTTAGATTCAATATTTCAATCTAGGCTATTCCTTTATTGAAAAAATTATAGAAAATTACACTATTTATAAAAACAAACCCCTAAAATTAAAAAAGCTTAGGGCTTTGTGGAATATTTAAACAACTTTGGATTGGTAGAAGTATTTAGAAATTTGATATCCGTGAAAATCTTAAGCCAACGAATGAGAACTAAAGTATAAAGTATTCTCAAGTAATTTTTAGTTTTACCTTGTCAATAGTTGATATTTAGATAATAAAATTCTGTAGTTTGAAATAAGAATCATTTCTTAAAGGTATTTCCACACTTGCTTAAAGTAACAAATATATAATCATGTATCTAACCAGAACTTAAAGCGCTTGTTTAAAAAAATGTGTGTAATCCTTCTATTTGAGGGCCTTTAACTTAAGATAATGCGTCTCTTTATCCATGGGAGTTTAGTGCCTCAATTATGTTTATTTTTATAGAAACAGTGTATTTTGTGGAATTGACCTTGTCGAAAAAATATTGAACTTGTACTTAACTGAAAATAATTGAGTAAAGTAATCGTTGTAAATTTCTACACATTTATTTTATTTACATTCACTTAAATTTTTTAATTAAATATTGTTTAATAAAAGCTTACATTTATATATATTATTTAATAAATTCATTTTTTCCATCTTTTAAAGTTCATTGCATTTAAATAAAAGAAAAATCTTTCGTTTATCCCATTCATCGTGCTTAATATATATTTTTAGTTGACTATATAATATTGATTCTTAATAAAATCATCTGTATTTGTTTTTATACCAGAGAGCGTTGGCCGTTGCATTTTTAAATGGAACTTATTTTGTATAAAAATGAATATTCAAGTTTAATTTTCTAAAGTCAGGTCTCATAAGTTCTCTTTCCTTTTAAGAATGCTCTTCGGAAAATATTCTATAGTAATCCTTTTGCTTGCTACCTTTTTGGTAGTTAATGCACAAAATGGTATGTGAAACTTCTTAAAAAGAACTGAAGGATACTTAAAGATAAAGTATTGAAGATACTTTTATTATTTATTAACACATATGTTATATTTCAGAAGAATGTGGTCCAAATGAAGTGTACACATCTTGTGGATCAGCATGTCCAGAAACTTGCAACAGTAAACCAAATCGTATTTGTACAAAGCAGTGTGTCATCGGATGTGTTTGTAGAGACGGTTTTGTAAAAGGAAACGATGGAAAGTGCATACCAAAATCGAGTTGCTAGGTATCATATCAGTTGGATACCAACCGGTCAACTACATTAGCAGGATTTTTTATGTTCGAATGCATAAATTTGTATATGTTATTGAAAAAGTGAAAGTGAAGCCAGTGTAGATGCAAAGAAATAAAACCTTAACAGCATAGACACATTTATGTATATATGTTTAAATAAAAGATAATATTATGTACAAATATTTTATATATTTCAATTTATATTGAACGATAACATCACTTTGGCATTACTTTAATCATTTTTATCTATTAATATATGCTGCTTAAAGTCTATACGAAAATATAATAAAAAATTTTTTTAATATATTCCTTTTTAATTTTTTATATATCGTATGAATTTTAGTGATATTGGGATGTTTTGTTAAACTTAAATACTATGAATATATTATAATAAATATAAAATGGTAAAAGATCACTTGAGATCATAACGATATTAGAATACAATTAGTAGTATCAGGGTACGCAGATTGAGTATTGCAGCTCATTTAAATAATATATAAAACCTTAAATTGGATTTGAAAATTGTAATCTTATCATATTTTATATTCATAATATTTATGATAATTATTATCCTGAAATCCTTGCTTTTAATTACTTACTCCATATACGACCAACGTTTTCTTACTACAAATGTAAATTGAGGTAATATTTTTTTCTATATTATTTATATATCTGTTTATGCCTTTACCCATTATTTAAAAGTGCGAGGCCTTCCATTTGCAAGTATAAGTAAACTCCTCTAGTAAATAAGCTTCATAAAATATTGTTTAAATATTCTTTTAATAAAAATATTTAAAATCTAAAATTTTAATTTTTCAAGCAAACGAATATTTCTGCACATATAAAAAATGTTTTCGGATATTGCCATAAATCGATCATTAGTATTTGGAAGCATCTATTAATATAATTGTCCGCATTTTTTGTTGTAGGACATAAAAATTTTAATAAGTATGTTTTTAAAAACTAAAAAAATTTTAAATAAAAATAAAATAGTCCAATAAAAGAAACTTTAGAATTGCTCTGGTTGTTTACTCCTGAAAAATTAGAGTAAAGTGTCTGAAAACTAAAAATTTGAAGAGCTCGTTTAGTTGTTACGCGCAGGTTATTTCCTTAAATTAAAAGGATCAAAGTTCAAGACCTGGTACTTTTAGTCTAACAATTACATCGGATTTATATAAATACCACGAAAATTTCCAAAGTCCAATGATGAGGAATATTTGACAACACTCTAAATTTCTGTATGAGTTTATCTAATTAAAAATTAAAAATTTTGTTCTTGCAATTCATCACTGTTTTAAAACTTTTTATATCGAATTGCTTCTTCTTCACTATTGACCTCAAAATTGTAATTTTATTTATGAAAACTTTCCTGTCCTTAGTTAAAAGTTAAGTATTCTATTTAAACGCTGATTTATCGATAATTATGATCATTGATGACGATCTGCCGCTTACTCCCATTACCCCCAACTTTTCTTAAAATATTGTGTATTTGGTTTGGTATTAAACTAATAAAATATGTTATTTGGTCCTTTCTGCAAACAATAAAAACTAAATTATTTTTCAACTTCAATTTCAGTTCTCATATGTAATATATCCAAAATTTGGACTTTGATTACAAAATTAAAAAGACAGATAAAACAATCTCACTATGAATATCAATTATTTACATGAAGCATTTATAAAATTATCTTCAGAAACGTGAAAGTTTTTTTGCAATAATAGAATATTTTTTCTTAAGGAGGAAAAATAAGCATCTCCTTTATGCCTAGACTTGTCTTTGAGATACCAGAATGAATGAGCGAATATTTTGTGATATCAAAAAGACAATGCTTAAGTAGAGTATGCTACACCATCAGCACTTAAAACTATAACGTCCATATCTGCATCCAAACCGTGGTACATTTATTTAATTATTAGAATTTTAATTAAAAATAAACTAAATTAACATTATAACTTTATTAAATGTGTTTAAATCCGCTTGTATTGGTAAAATGAATATAAGATATGTACTCTTACGAGGGTACATATGACCTGACTGAGTTGTCATCCTGTAATGTTAGGGACCTAGCCAAGTTCATAGAACTGTCAGGTTGGTTTTCCTTTGCATAATGGGGGAGTCGTTACCTTTCTTTCGGCGTTAAATGTATACTGATTAAAATCTATATACAAATAACGTAACTCCTGTGGTACCACAACGGGCCTTTATTTGTGCTTAAGTGGGCTTTTTGGGATACAAGGCCGCCACTCCAACCTATACCTATACTCTTACGAGGGAAGAACTTGGTACATACTCATTATTTAAACGGTTGCCTTAGATTATGATGAGCATTTCATCGAATCGATTTATCCCCTCACGTATTGAGTTTGAGTATTCGATTGGTATAAGTATTTTGAAATTTGATATCCATGAAACATTTGAACCAAATAAATGAAAACTAAAAATCACTACTTATAAACTAATTACCAATTTTAACCTGTCCATAGTCAGCATTTATGTGACACAGTTCTGTGGTTCTAAAAGATATTTCCCCATTCGCTTAAAGCGCTTATATACCAGAAATATGTTTAATCCATCTATTTGAAATACTGTCACTAGTGATAATCGGTTTACTTCAATATGTAAAACCAAGAGACATGTTAAGAGCATGTTCTCAAATATGACTATTATTTTATATATTTAATAGAAAAAGAATTTTCGACTCTTTTTCTTTTCTTACTATCCTCTTCATCCAAAGGAGTTTAATGACTAAATTATGTTGATAGAAACTGTGTATTTTGTAGAACTCGTTTCTCCGAAAAGGCATACAATTTTTCAGCTCTCAAATCCACTTAAATATAACCATCGGTGTCAGTTCTTATACATTTATTTATATATTATTTTTGATTTTTTTTAAATAAAAGTTGATTTATTCATAATATAGCATATAACTTAATAAAGGTACTTTTCCCATTTATCCCATAAACAGTTCATTGCATTTAGATTAAATAAGTCTTTTGTTTATTCCAATCATCAGGTTTAATAATAAATATTTTTTTTGCTACATGTTATTTATTTTTTGAAAAGGCATCTGTGTTTGTTTTTATACCAGAGAGTGTTGGGTTTTGTATTTTTAAATGAGACTCATTTTGTATAAAAATCCATATTTCTGTTGAATTTTGTAGAGTGAAGTCTCATAAGTTATATTTTAAAAATGTTGTACGGAAAATTTTCTTTTGTGATCCTTTTGCTTGGTGCCTTTTTGGCAGTTAATGCACAAAATGGTATGTGGAACTTTCTTTAAAAAAAATATAAAGATACTTTTATTATATATTAACATATATGTTATATTTTAGAAGAATGTGGTTCAAATGAAGTATACACATCTTGTGGATCGGCTTGTCCAGAAACTTGCAACAGTAAGCCAAACAGAATGTGTATTGCGATGTGTTTCACTGGATGCGTCTGTAAAAGTGGCTACGTACGTAACAGCACAGGGATGTGCATTGAGCGATCACTTTGTTAAGTTTTATTTTTGAGAAAGCTTCAAGAAAAATGAATAATAATAAAATATATATAAAAATTATGGAAGTGAAAATAAACAGATATCCTGAACTTGTAAAATAGAAGTAATTATTGTAATAAAATATCGTTTTTATTAATAAAATTTAACTGCTACCACATACTTTACCGTAAATATTTATTTCAAGAATACATATATCTGAAGTTTCTGGATTCTTGAAGCAATATTGTCTCTTACGTTTGCTTAAATAGCTAGTCAATTTATATAATATATTATGCAGCACATTCTTATTGAAAACCAACGTCGTCTAAAAGATGTACACTCAAATATGTAATATATCATATATATCTTTAACTATGGGTTTTTATTAAACGATACTGAACATAAATTTTAATTTTATTTAGAACCTAAAAAATGCAACTGAATGAGGTTATTCATATCTCAAACTTAATAAATTTATTTATATATTAAAAAATTAAGCGAATTATTTCAAATATGGTCACCAAAAACTTTTAGTTATAATCTTTTTGCTTATCTTCTGGTTTATCAAAGCACAAAAAAATATTTTACGACGTACAAAGAGAACTTTGTCCAATCAATATGTAATATCCAATGAGTAACTACTTATATCTCTAAAACAATCAATCCAAGTAACGATTTATATTTTTGATGAGAAAAGCTGTAAATAGCGTGATCGAACGACAATTAATGTAGAAAAATGCTTGATTTTTGAGAATTATTCGCAAAAATCATATGTTTATAAAACTATATATAATTGCACTAGAATGTACCAATGAAGTGCTACACGTGCACTTTTTCTGTTATTAATATTATACTATAAACATTAATGTCCACGTAGGAAGTTGTGAACAATACTCAAATATTAATTTTAATATAATATATAGATGTTATTTTCGAATCTCTTGAATCCTTCACAGAGTATTTTAACATTAACTGTTGTGCTAGTTTTGTATCGTATTCAAGAATGCATTTGATAATGGAGTTATTTATATTTTTCTATATGCTATGAATATAAGACATAATGTGTAACAAAATAAGTAGTGTAAGTTGTAAGATTGGAGTGATTAGTATAATGGTTTTAGTATTTTAATGGTTTTACGTCATGAAATTTTCAGTCATGTAGAATTGTATATTATGTGATTTCAGCAAGATGGTGCAAAATGGCATATATCACTGTTTCAGTCTCCCGAAATGTCTATGTAAAGAGGTCATCTAAAATAATTTTAGAGTATAAATTGATTTTTTCTTTGGGATCATGTTAACTGAATTTCAAATTAATTTAGTAAATCACAGGTACCGAATAACTGTTTTAATAAACATTATTCGCATTGTTAATGAAAAATCTGATTTAGCTCAGCTAAATCATCAAATAACAATATAAAACCACCTTTAAAACTTAAGATACAGTGTATATGTATATATATACACTGTATATATACGTGAATACACAAACAAAAAAAAATTGAGCAATGCATTAATGTGTTCTAAGGAATCGCATACAAGAAATAATGGTTGATGAGGGAGTATGGTAGCGAAATCAGTGTTAGCCTCATATTGTATTGTTCCAAAATACGTTCGAAATATGGAAAATATGAGCATATTACACTAAAAAAAACAACTAATAAGAAAAGTATTTTCAAGAAATGCTCGTCATTCTAAAAATTCCCACTATAACGAGAGTCAACTTTAAAAAAGATGGCAACACGTCTCACAACTATCACAATATATAATTTTTTTG